TAGTCGGGAGCCTGCTCCATTTATGCTCTCTCCCAGGTAAGTTTTAGTTTCTGGCGTATTTTACTGTGGTGAATCTGGAGAATTCTTTGCTTTCATATTCAATTAGCCGTTAAGAATTTGGATTCCATCTTAAAAGATCAACCTTATTAAAAGTAGAAGTTTAAGATTTTTGTCAACCTTATTAAGAGGAGTAACCCAAAATCTTTATTAATTGGTCTATATCAACATCATTTATCATGTGGGATATATATCCCTTAACACGCCCTGCAAGATGATGACCCATTTGAGCAGACCAATTTTGAAATTTATGTGCTCATTTTAGAGTTTTAATGGGATCGAATCGCTCGTTGAAGTATAATGAGCTCTGATACCATGTTAAAAATTGGAGTTCCATATTAAAAGATCAATCTTATTAAGAGGAGTATGCCAAAATCTTTATTAATTGGTATGTTTCAACATCATTTATCGATGTGGGATATATATCCATTAACACCCTATTTGGCCCCCATTAAATTAAATTATATTACATTAAATTTTTCTATCTCTTCGTTACAACCAAATATTAATCAAATAAAATAATATTATATACAAATCTAAAACTTTTCATTACTTTTTTACCACACATTCTTCCATCAATCACTATTCCAAAAATTTTCAACCATAAAAAATGCAAAATAATGGGGGCCAAACAGTAATGCAATTTCAAGATTTTACTGTTAAGTTATAATTAGGAGATGTGTAGTCCAGACTCCAGAATATATTAATAGATCTGAAACATTGATTTTGTTATTTTCACGTGGTTTAATTTTGTTAATGATAGTAATTCTGTTTGATGTAGGGTGAGTAATAAAATGGGTTTGGAAGCTGCCGTCGAAGCAGCGGCTGCATTGTTGAACAAGGCTGTCAAACCAGTTATGGTGGGTGGGCCGAAACTTCGTGTTGCCAAAGCATGCAATTCCTTTGTCGAATTAGCAGATGCTTGTGGCTATGCTCTCGCTGTGATGCCATCGGCCAAAGGGTTAGTCCCTGAGCACCATCCACATTTCATCGGGACTTACTGGGGCGCAGTGAGCACAGCTTTTTGTGCAGAAATCGTGGAATCAGCTGATGCATATTTGTTCGCTGGTCCAATCTTTAACGACTACAGCTCGGTTGGATATTCTCTTCTT